GCGGCAGATCGTAGCGTTTTGTCTCTCTGTGCAAACGGGATCAGTCCACGGACTCTCCGGGTCAGACTCGTCATCCCATCTGGTTTCCTGCTGTCAGATTGACTTGCTGGGCAGCGTGGCAGACCAGGTAGTCAGTAGGCTCTTTCCACTCTTCCTCTCTCTCCAACTCCGGCTCTACATCCTAGTTCAACACTTCAGCTGCCAGCACAACTCCTTCTGTTTCAGTGTCTCCCTGCACTCTCCTGGACAATCTACCAGGCTTTGATATTTATATGCCCCTGCCCACATGCTACCTCTCTTGGGAAATGTGGTCCCTGACTGCCCTGCTCACCAGCTGAGTCCTGCTATACAGCATACAAGTTCTAGAGAGCTGTTCTGTCCATGTGAGTGTCCCTGAATGGCAAACCACCACCATCTAATGTCCATTTTAATGTACTGCAAGTAATAACATTTCAAGGGGCTACACTGTCTTTGTGAAAGGGGAAATCTCTCCAATAGATTAACCCCTTCATGCTGGTGCCTCCCAGCCCTTTAAGGGGTTTCTGAAACCAGGAGGTGAGACGGGGTTTAGGGTCATGTGACTGCCATGATTCGCTGCCATGGCAGTCACATGATCGGTAAGGTCCTGATCGCAAGGAGAGATTGTGTCCTTTCAGTGGGACGCTGACACATGCTGGGGAGAGAGCATGGCGCGCGCTCTCAGCATATGTTTGTTTAAAAAATGTTACGCAAATATGTGGCCCCTCGGCTTCAAGGCCCAGCCGCCGAGAGGCCGCATATTCGCATACTGTCGGCGTGAAGAGGTGAAGAAAAGGCAGTAAAACCTGATTGAAGTTCTAACCTTCCCCAATAAAAACTAAAAAATGCTTTGGCTACTGTTGTGCGTCTAATGCATTTCCAGGCAGAAATTATTTAATAATCACATAACATAGGGCAGTTAAGAACTATAGGGATGTGGAATTGTGGTTAGGCTTTTAATTTGCATAAACCTGCACTGTAGATGTTGTGCTTTATAGTGTTACATACCACCCATCTTTCTGAGATGAGAAAGACGACACCTTTTAGAACAAAGTATAAATGCAAAGGAACCCCCCCCCCCCAGTTACACTGACCATAAATAATCAAATTAGAGGTTTAGGCACTATGACTCCTACCTTTTAAATTGCCGCCCATCGTGCTACATACAGTGAAGCATAAACAGCAATATAAATACCTTTTTTGCTTCATTTCTATGCAATCACTTGACCCTGGCCCCTCTGTGTAATGTGTAGCTGGTGGGAGAAGACTATCTACCCCCATGAAAATGCCCATAGCAGTCAAAAGCAATGGATGACATCACTTCTCTAGGGGATTCAATCCCGTTATTGGCTCGCCACATTACAGAGGATTTGCGATTACATGCTCAAATAGAAAATGAAGCAAAGAAAAGATTTTAGCTTCTTTGTATGCATTTAAAAGGTAGCAGTTATAATGCCTAAACTTTTACTTTAAAATACAAATGATTACATCATAAAAAAGAAAGACTTTCTAGGATAGCACGCAAGGACATACACATTTAACACATCAATGGATAAAAAATGTCGGACTTATTAATCGCATCATAAGTCAAAAAGAATTGCTTATCATGTACTATACATATTCATTTTTGAAATGCTACATAGACGACTTAAATATTTGTATTATACTGAGTGGTACTGTTTTATAGGTAACAGTGAATTGGGACAATCAGTATAACACAAATATTTAAGTATTCAAAATAAAATTGTATTGTGCATCATAATGATTCTTTTAAACATTTTATGATGTAAATAATAATTCTTTATATTTTTATTTATATGTTACATTTATGGTCTTGGGTGCAATCTAGGAAAGTCCTAGTGCTTTTTCTGTTGTAATTGCTTGTTTTAGTCCAGTATCATTTGGAATCATTAGATGCTTTAATATACATCATTGAGGATCATTGGTTAAACACACAAGTAGTTTCTATTTTAAACAACACATTTTTTTATTTTATTTGTACAGGCTTTTTAAAATAACAAAAGTGATAATTTAGAGGTCGCATAAAAGGTTCAGTGCAGTATAACTCTCTTGGTAATTAAATAGAACTATTATATTCTATTCTAACATAGAATATTTATATAATATTATATATTATATAATTATATATTTTACTAATTTATTATATTATATTACAGAGGTATGTGCATCAAACCAAAAACAAGGACAACTGAGAGGGCAAGGTGGACAAAGGGATCAGTTCCAAAAGAAGGGACGGTCTAGAGGTGCTTTACTGTGGTAGACAGTTACTTGCAGGGAAGGAAACAAATGTGCACAGGAAGATATAATTACATTGAAAAATATTTTTGACTGTTACTTTTTGTTTTGATAAGTCAGGGGCAATTTTTCTTTGTTTCCCGGATGTAACGAGTCATTGAAATGTAAATAAATGCACAAAAAAGTAAATAGTTATCAAACATAATTACATATGGACAAAAGTAGTCATATGGACAAATGTCACAAGCCCACTAGTTAATAGAAATAGAACATTTTACCCATTAGACATTACCAAAATTACATAATGTTGTGCAATGAGAGTACAATACTTTTACACTCTGTTGACATGGCCGAAAGGTCATCTAAAAAAGGAAGACTTTGCGTTGTAACCCAGGGCCTTATATTTTAGTCATTTACATGGGATCACTTCCATCTTCATAACAATTTGGTTGTCTTAACGCTCAGAATAGTTTCACGAGAATAGTTTCACTTCTTATTAACATATTTTAATATCCTCTACTGTACTTCTGCTGTTACTAAACTTACAGGACAGTATTGCTTATTTTGTTAAAGTAAAAGTGAGAAGTGCTGAATTTTCACAATTTGTTCTGTATCTGCCAAGAATTCTTTGTTTAAAAGGTCAGTCTACCCACAACCTGTATTTCAGTTTTGAGTAGCTGTCAGTGGATTGAAGAACCAACCTGCTTACTTCTATCTCTAATACATTTCTATTAATTAAATAATCAACCATCACAGTTTGGCTAATAAACCCTTGGAATTTTGTTTTATTGCATTAGTATAACAAATCCATATACATTTGTTCTGCACCAATTGATAAAACAAAATTATTTCACAACCTTTAGATTGTTTCCAAAGTTATATGTTTTCTTAGTATACATGTTCTCCCCAAACATACAAACACATCATACAATCCTTTACAACACTTACAAAAACAGTGGTTATAATACAAGTACTCATAGCATAATGTGTAAACAAATGTCATACTCTTTATAAGATGCCTTCTGTGCTATTGACTGAAGATTAAAAATTTAGAAGGTTTATCAATGAAAAAATATTTTTCTGAAAATCACTGCCTTTTTTTGCTGCTATTACTTTCTCTACCAGTAAATCAAAGTCCTGCAACATTATTGCCTGCTTCCCAGAAATTAGTTTCTGCAGATGATCGAGCATCACTATCTAATCTCAGACCTACTCTATGTTAGTTAATTTGGCCATGAAAACCTATTTTGATTTCTCACATATATCCAATGTCAAATGGGCACTTAACAAAATAAATTATATTCTCAGTATGGCAACTGGAAAAAAATGCATTCTTTAAATTTTCACCAATCAGAGGATATGTGCTCATAAGCCCAAAATTGCACTGGACACAGTGTCTTTTGGGGTAAGTATCCCCTGGTGTCTCCATAGATGCAAGCCAAGTTTCTTGAGAGTCCCTTGATAGTTTGTGAGCAACTATTGTATTATCTTTAAATAGCTTACTCAGATTATTATACTGTAGCTGTTAAATACTGACCAATATTTTTGAATGTCTCTTTGTATTGTGTGTGAATGGTACACACAAGTAAATACATAAACTTTACTATGGGGTACATTTCAGTAAAGGATAATTTTCTTTTTCCTATCTGTGATCTTCCTTGTCAGGGCCATTTGTTACAAAAGCCTTGATGGTTGACAAAATAGAAGGTATTCTATGAAAAGAGAAAATAAGAGGGAGAGGAGCGGAGAGGTAACACTATGGCCTCTGTGTAGGCCAGAAGGAACCTAGCCTAGATGAAGCTATACTGTCTGGCATGAATAAGGTTGTAAATATTAAAGAAGGGGCAGTGATCCTAAAAATAGCATACACCTCATGTGAGATTTGTTTTCATAGCAGATTTCAAGAAAAAAATGTTTGTCTATAGCCCTGCTTTAAAATAATATTTTTTAGTCTGTGTGCTATTTTGCCAACTTGGGACATCCACCCAATATTATGGACATACCATTTGCTGTTAACATAGCAGGCAACATGCATACTTGCAACCAACTTGCTATAGGTATAATAGTCCATGTACTTGGGTTACAACTTTCAGGGTAGATTGTTTAATATGAATATGATCTCTGGTCAAAACCAGATAAAAAATCCAATCCTTCTCAACCTATCTGCTGCAACCCCTTCACAATTAAAAACACACTTTTTAACTTACTTTTATGTCCACCATCACATGACCCACCATGGCACCTCCTCCAGTAGTGGTGACCAAGTCTTATATCGGTCCTTCACATCCTTGGCATAGTGATGTCATCTTTTGCAACCTAGCCTGTCACCAGGGCCAGTGCTAGACTATTTTGTGCCCTAAGCAAGACCAGCTACCTGTGTCCCCTCCTTCCCGCCCAAAAATAAAAATGTTTAACCAATTGTCTACCGGGCACTTTTACCCCCTACCTGCCCAGGCCAATTTTCAGCTTTCAGCGCTGTCGCACTTTGAATGACAATTGCGCGGTCATGCAACACTGTACTCATATGAAATTTTTATCATTTTTTTGAGACAGATAGAGCTTTATTTTGGTGGTATTTGATCACCTCTGGCTGTTTTTATTTTTTGCTAAACAAACCAAAAACAACTTAAAATTTTGAATTCTGTTGAAAATGTTTGTAAATTAGTAATTTTTCTCCTTCACTGATGTGCGCTAATGAGGCTGCAGTGATGGGCATTGATAGGCTGCACTGATGGGCACTGATAGGTGGCACTGATGGGTACTGATGAGGAGGCACTTATAGGTGGCACTGATGGGCATTGACAGTCATCACTTATGGGCATTGACAGGCATCACTGATGGGCACTGAAAGGCAGCACTCATATATGGCACTGATATGCGGCACTGATAAGCAGCACTGACTAGCACTGATAGGCAGCACTGACTGGCACTGTTAGGCGGCACTGACTGGCACTGTTAGGCAGCACTGATGGGCACTGATAGGTGGCACTGACGGGTACTGATAGGCGGAACAGACTGACACTGATAGGTGGCACTGATTGGCAGTACTGATAGGTAGCACTGACTGGCACTGATAGGTTGCACTGAAAGGCAGCTCAGATGGGCACTGATATGTGGCATTGATGTGCACTGGTAGGCACTGATATGTAGCATTGATGTGCACTGACAGGTGGCATTGATGGGCACTGACAGATGGCATTGATGGACACTGACAGGTGGTACTGATGGGGGTACACTGATCATCAGGGCACTGATCATCAGTGCCCTGATGATCATTGTAGATGTCCCCTCTGAGGAATGCCGATCTCCTCTCCTCACGAGCTGTGAGCGTGAGGCACCTGAGGGACTCTCAGACCATGAGAAACAAAACTCTCTGGTCTGATGAAACAAAGATTGAACTCTTTGACCTGAATGCCAAGCGTGATGTCTGGAGGAAACCAGGCACCGCTCACCACCTGGCCAATACCATCCTACAGTGAACCATGGTGGTGGCAGCATCATGCTGTGGGGATGTTTTTCAGCGGCAGGAACTTAGAGACTAGTCAGGATCGAAGGAAAGACATCTTTGATGAAAACCTGTTCCAGAGCGCTGTGGATCTTGGACTGGGGCGACGGTTCGTCTTTCAACAGGACAACGACCCTAAGCACACAGCCCACATAACAAAGGAGTGGCTATGGGCCAACTCTGTGAATGTCCTGGAGTGGCCCAGCTAGTGCCCAGACTTGAACCCAATTGAACATCTCTGGAGAGATCTGAAACTGGCTGTGTACTGACACTCTCCATCCAACCTGACGGAGCTTGAGAGGTACTGCAAAGAAGAATGGGAGAAATTGCCCACAAATAGGTGTGCCAAGCTTGCAGCATCATACTCAAAAATGACTTGAGGCTGTAATTGGTGCTAAAGGTGCTTCAAACAAAGTATTGAGCAAAAGCTGTGAATACTTATGTACAGTTGCAAGAAAAAGTATGTGAACCCCTTGGGATTACGTGGAGTTTTGCATGAATTGGGCATAAAATGTGCTCTGAACGTCATCTAAGTCACAACAATAGAAGAACACAGTCTGCTGAACATAATACAACACAAACATTAGATGTTGCCATGGTTTAATTGCACATAACATGTAAACATTCAGAGTGCAAGGAGGAAAAAGTATGTGAGGCCCTAGCTTAATGACTTCTCCCAGAGCTAATTGGAGTCAGGAGTGAGCCAACCTTGACTCCAATCAGTGTGATGATATTGGATGTGTTGCTGACAGCTGTCCTGCCCTTAAAAAACACACACCTGTTTTGGGTTTACTGGTTTCACGAAGCATTGTCTGATGTGAACCATGCCTCGCAGAAAATAGCTCTCAGAAGACCTACGATCAAGAATTGTTGACTTGCATGAAGCTGGAAAGGGTTATAAAAGTATCTCCAAAAGCCTTGATGTTCATGTGTCCACGGTAAGACAGACTGTCTACAAATGGAGAAAGTTTAGCACTGTTGCTACTCTCCCTAGGCATGGTCGTCCTGTAAAAATGACTGCAAGAGCACAACTCAGAATGCTGCATGAGGTAAAGAAGAATCCCAGAGTGTCAGCTAAAGACCTACAGAAATCTCTGGCACATGCTAACATTTTTGTTGACACATCTACAATAAGGAAAACATTAAACAAGAATGGAGTACATGGGAGGACACCACAGAGGAAGTCATTGCTGTCCAAAAAGAATATTGCAGCACGTTTGAAGTTTGCAAAAGAGCACCTGGATGTTCCACAGCACTACTGGCAAAATATACCGTGGACAGATGAAACCAAGATTGAGTTGTTTGGGAAGCACACACAACACTATGTGTGGAGAAAAAAAGGCACAGCACACCAACATCAAAACCTCATCCCCACTGTAAAACATGGCGGAGGGAGCATCATGGTTTGGGGCTGCTTTGCTGCCTCAGGGCCTGGACGGATTGCTGTCATTGATGGGAAAATGAATTCCAGAGTTTATCAAGACATTTTGCAGGAAAACGTACGACCATCTGTCCGCCAACTGAAGCTCCGCAGAGGATGGGTGATGCAACAGGACAATGACCCAAAGCACAAGTAATTCAACAAAACAATGGCTGCAACAGCACAGAATACGCCTTCTGGAGTGGCCCAGTCAGCGTCCTGACCTCAACCCGATTGAAATGCTGTGGCATGACCTTAAGAGAGCGATTCACACCAACATCCCAAGAATATTGCTACACTGAAACAGTTTTTGTGAAGAGGAGTGATCCAAAATGACTCCAGATCGTTGTGCAGGTCTGATCTGCAACTACAGGAAACGTTTGGTCGAGGTTATTGCTGCCAAAGGAGGGTCAACCAGTTATTAAGTCCAAAGGTTCACATACTTTTCCTCCCTGCACTGTGAATGTTTACATGTTATGTGCAATTAAACCATGGCAACATCTAATGTTTGTGTAGTATTATGTTCAGCAGACTGTGTTCTTCTATTGTTGTGACTTAGATGACGTTCAAGCACATTTTATGCCCAATTCATGCAAAACTCCACGTAATCCCAAGGGGTTCACATACTTTTTCTTGCAACTGTACATGTATTTTCTTTCATGTTGTCATTATGGGGTATTGTTTGTAGAATGTTGATGAAAAAAATTAATTTAACCCATTTTGGAATAAGGCTGTAACAAGCAAAATGTGGTAAAAGTTAAATGCTGTGAATACTTTCTGTAAGCACGATAAATTGATGTGAAATTAGATTTTTTAAATTTTTTTAGTGGACGCATTTAATAGCAAAATTGTCAGACTTTTTTTATAGCGCACAAAATAAAAAACGCACAGGCGATCAAATACCACCAAAAGAAAGCTCAATTCATGGGAAAAAAAGGATGTAAATTTAATTTGGGCGCAGCGTTGCATGATTGCGAAATTGTCATTTAAAATAACGCAGTGCCGTAACGCAAAAAATGGCTTGGACAGGAAGGGGAGTAAATCCTCAGGGGGGCAAGTGGTTAATTGTAATAAAATATCAAAGACTGAGTTTGAGAAACAGCTGGCTATAAAAATATTCCCAGACATCCATTATTTGGTATTCACAGACAGTCAATATCTGCAAATCAACCTGATTTGCAACTGATCTCAAATATGCAGGATCAGGTCTCTTGCCTCTTGGGTTGCATTCTATAAATTATTAGTACACTCCAAAAAATGGTTCAAGTGATTCTTTAAGGGTAAAAGCTTTAAACACCCCAAGAACAGGTGATGCACTAACCTAGAAAAGCCATATTTCGATTCAGATTGGAACCAATTTGAAACCAAACCTATTATTCTAGTGTAGTCTAGAAATGTTCTGTATATAGCATAAGTGAGGATAACAATCAGAAAATGCTCAGAGGTTCAGTAATGTTGAAGTCTCACTTTCCAAGTGAATAGTTTTGTGATATTTAGATAATAAAAAGGACAATTATCAAGTGCAGTGGCTGCTGTATGATCTTGCCTGAAGCCTGACGGGTAGACTAATTTAATGGAGTTTAGACTTGGTTACTTTAATTATCCCTTTTATAGACTTTTAATTAGTTAGAATTACATTCATTTAAAGCCTTCTTGTTCAGGACGGCAGCTGTTCACACTGTATCCCCACTGCTGAAGTGAAGCAGCTGGCTATTATATCTGTTAGCAACACCAGAAGCCTTTTCATATGTATGAGGCAAAAGTTGTCTACACACAGGGCCGAAGCATGTAGAAGAGCTCTCCTTAGGGTAGCAAATGTAGTTCTGTTTTTTAAATGAATGATTTTGATTCTTTGTGGTATTAAAAAGATCACATATATGTGTGTGTTTGTGTATATATATATATATATATATATATACTGTATATATTATATATGCATACTGTACATAAAACATAACCACTTCCCAGCAATAATTAAAATATAATTAACAATTTATTTAAAAAATAGATAAATAAACATGGATAATAAAAGTCAGGCTTTATCCCCTAGTGACCAATTAGATTATTTGCTATAGTTTCCTAGAGAATAAAAGATGAGCCTGTTAATCCAGATTTCAATCAGTCTTTTCCATGCCTTAATCCACTCATTTACTCCTACATGGGAAACCATGGTTTGAACAAATCAGGCATGACTGTGTGACTATCAGGCAGCATATGGCTGTAAATGATTGCAAAATGTACAAAATACATTTAAAATTGATGTAATAATCTGTCCATTCTTGATGTGAAATCCTTTACCATGAGTTAAAAAGTAGACTTCCCTTTCCTTCCCAAAGGTATTTTGTTCACTAGATTAAGACACCAATGTCTTTTTGCATAATGATAACTTGGCAAGGAAGGGCACTGGAGAAGACCCACAGGACTCAACTAAGCAAGACCGTTTATTTTTTGCATAAGCAAATACATAAAATTCCACTAAAATATGAATGTATAGGGCAGGGGTCTTCAAAAATATTTTAAAAAGGACCAGTTTACTGTCCTTCAGACTTTAGTGGGGCCAGACTGTGGCCAGTGGGAGTAGAAAATGTCCTGGTGTCTCTAGGAGGAACAGTTCCGGATCATTGGTGTCAGTTGGAGGAATTGTGCCCCATCATTGGTCTTAGTGGACAGAGTAGTGCCCCAAAGGCTGGATAAAGGCAAGTACAGGGCTGTATAGGTATATAAATATACACTTGTTGTAAGCCCTTCAATATGACCCTCCTAATAGGGTACTTGCAAAGTATCTTCTCTTTCTTACTTTCTAATTGATATCAATCAACTTTTGTGAAGGTATGTTTAAATGTTGTGAGATTTCAATCAGAAAAGTAAAAAGAAGTTCCAGACGTAACCACCTATAGAATAGGTCATGCTGTAGGATAATTTATCACATGATTGCACTTCCTGCTGATGGCAAACATTATACCCACTAGCTGTAAAAAGGAGGAACCAGTTGTGTTCCTGTATACCTGCATTTTTTAGTGTTAGCAGTAACTTAAAACAGCTTCAACTCTTTACAGATCTCCAGTGAATATTGTTGTGACAAATCAAATGTGACTGCGTGTTTGTAAAACTGTACTAGTGTAGGAAGGGTATTTATATCACTGGGTTGTGATATATGTTATACAATGTTTTGCACTATATAAAGATAGCTGAGCAGAACATTGTTACTGCTCTTTTGTATCAAATTTGTTTTGATCCTGTTTTGGACCATGATGGAATAAAGCCTCTTACATTTGTTTATTTGATGTACTGTATGTGGTCATTTAGCGAGGCAGAAAATGCAGCCTATGGTATAGAAGAGAAATATACAGTTTTCTAGGCATTAAAAAGAATCTGAACTGATCTTTTCCCATTTACTGACTTTCATTGTCCTATTCTGTGCTGGGTCA